CCTGACCAAGCAGTTTCCCTTGAGAAGACAGGGCAGAAATTGTTGAGGAGCAAAGACTAACCCTTTTATTCCCATTCTGTCTTTAAGGGAGGTCTCCAGCCCACTTGACAAGTAAACAGAGCCTTTCCCACTGCGGACTCCCACCCTGCTCTCACATGCACACGGGAATCAAGGCAGCCCCTCCGAGGCGGAACGCAGCAGCCCGCAATACTGAACAAAAAGTGGGGAGAGAAATCAGAACAGCCCAGAAGTCACTCCCGGGCTGCTGGGTGAAGTCGGGGCGCTGGTGCATTCACCATTGCAGAGCGGACGCTTTACCTGGTGTGGCTGGAGCCGACAGTTCTCTGCCCAGGATCAGGCCCTGTGTCCTAGCTGTTGGAGTGGAGCGAGTGGCCAAGCTGGAGGTTCACGTTTGTTCTCCCTAGCCCGAGGGAGGCTGTTCTGGAGGGCTGGTGAGCCCCGGGGCCTGGTGCCCTGGGCCACTGACTCTCCGGGCAGCTCGCCTGTGCTCACGTGAGCGCTTTTCTCAAAGGCTGCAAGCAGGGGCTGTCGGCACGTCTCTGGACAGCCAGGCTCAGCAGGTTTGAAAAACGCTGGTTTGTGTGAAGCTGTTTGCACTCAAGAATCTGGCTCAGGCTCCCAGGGAGGCTAAGCCCCTGACATCTCAGCAGCGTGCGACTTACTGTGGCAGCATGGACACCAGACAGACGCAAATGGTCTCCTTGCCCAGCCGGGAGCAGTCAGCCTTCCAGCACCAGCCGGGGCGGGTACAGCCGGCTCTCCCACAGGAGGCTACGTGGCACCCTTGCCATTTCCGCCCGTCCTACTTTGTTGATAAGAGTCTCTCCCCCCACTTGCCCCAGGGCAAAGCCCAGTGATCAGGGTGTCAGGTTTGGCCAGCAACAGTCAGATCTATGTAAGGCTGAGAGCTCCCAGTACCTGAGCTGGGTGGACAAGCTCCTGCAGAGCTGCTCTCAGCTCCATCGCAGCCCCACAGCTCTAGCACTGCCCTTCTGCCCCTTTCTGGGGTCTCCTGCCTCTCGCAGCTCATCTCCCTGTGAATCACACACAGGGGCCCACTCTAAATCCGTGGGGGCCATCGGGCTATTTCAGATCCCCGCGCTTTTCAGCAGCTGCCTGTGGGTCCAGCCAGCTCCTGGCCATACTGGGTCAGACCAGTGGTCCATCTAGCCCAGTATCCTGTCTTCTGACAGTGACCAGTGCCAGGTGCTTCAGAGAGAACGAACAGAACAGGGAATCATCAAGTGATCCGTCCAGTCAGCCAATCCCAGCATCTGACAGTCAGAGGTTTAGAGATACCCAGAGCATGGGGTTGTGTCCCTGACCATCTGGGCTAATAGCCATTGATGGACCTATCCTCCATGAACGTAGCTAATTCCTTTTTGAACCCCATTATAGTTTTGTCCTTCACAACATCCCCTGGCAATGAGTTCCACAGGTTGTCTATGCACTGTGTGAAGACGTACTTCCTTTTGTTTGTTTTAAACCTACTGCCTGTTAATTTATTGGATGATCTCTGGTTCATGTGTCATGGTAAGGGGTAAATAATACTTCGCCATTCACTTTCTCCACACCAGTCATAATTTTATAGACCTCTCTCAAAACCCTATTCATTTCTGTTGCCCTTCTCTGTACTTTTTCCAATTCGAAGATACGTTTTTTAGATGGAGCGACCAGAGCTGCACGTACTATTCAAGGTGTGGGCGTACCAGGGATTTATATAGTGGCATTACAATATTTTCTGCCTCATTATCTATCCCTTTCCCAATGGTTCGTACCATTCTGTTCGGTTTTTGACTGGCACTGCACATGGAGCAGGTGTGTTCAGAGAACTGCCCGCGTGACTCCAAGAGCTCTTTCTACACTCACGGGGTGGGCAGCGAGGTTCCTCGTGAGGCCCAAAGGCATTCTCCTGCTCCCCTCTGGGGCAGCACAACAGTGGCTGTAGGGCCACCTGGCCTGCTCCTCTCTGGGCCCATTGTAGAGCGGTTTCTTTCCCCTCGAAAGAGAGCTAGGCCAGGGGTTGGCCTGCGACAGCCAGAGCAGTTTCCCTCAGCTGGAGTGATGTGTGTGTGGAGGGAGCCTGGCATTTCCCTTTGAGTCCAGCAGTGTGTAACTGGATAAACCAAAGCAAACCCAGGCTGCAGGGGCTCCCTCCAAACAGCTCCTGAAGCTTGGATAGCCCCAGCCCACTGCCTCGATTCAAGCGGCAGCAGGCTCCCGTGCCGGGCGGAAAGCAGACTGCCCAGGCTGGGTGCGGCCTGAGTGGGAGCCCGTCAGAAAATGCAGGGAGGGCAGGAGAGGCAAAGCGACCAGGGCTGGAGGAGGGAAAGCAGAAGTGTCCTGCTGCGGCACTGGGCCATCCTCTCCCTGGCTTGGGGCCACGTGCTGGCCTTCTGGAGCGGCATGAAGTGGGGAGAAGCTGCTCGCTTTGGAGCTGTGGTTACTGGGAGACGTGGGGTTGGATTTAACATCTATGTAGATTTGTAGCTGGTGGCTGGTGTCCAGCAGCTCCTACAGATGTTCTGCTTACAGGCCTGTCTCTTCATAAAAGAGAATCCCAGCACTTCCCCCCAGGGCAGCTGAGACATTAGGGTGGCGCTGCTCTGTCCGCGTGAGCCAGCAGATCCTGCGCATAGAAACACAGGGCTTCTGAAAGGAATTGTGGTGGTGCTGGGCTCTTTGCTCCTTCAGGGCAGGCTCCTCTCGTCCTTCTCCATGTGCTGAGTACACATGGGCTCCAAGGAGCGATGAGGAGGGTGGCTCACACCTCTGCCATTGCCCCTTCCATGAGGGTGGAGCAATTCCAGAGTCCTGTCTGGAGTGGAAGCTTTAGGGGCTGGGCTCCATAGCCAGGGACACAAGGCTGGAGGCGAAGGCGGTGATCATGGTCTTCAGATTGATGCTCTTCTGTCAGAGCTGCAGGCGGCTTGACTCTGGGTGGCCAGGCCTCAGACCTGGGTTGGCTGCGTGTTTAGCACCCTGGCGTGGGTGGTCCATCCCGGTTAGTAGGGGGCAGTGCTGCCTTAAGGCGAGTCTAGAGCTGGGAAGTGAGCCTGGTGGCTGCATGTGCCTGCCTAGTGCTGAATTGCGAACCTGCATTAGCTGCCTGTACACGATTCTCCTCTTCGTGTCTGCGTGGCCTGCCCAGCGTGTAGACAGGAGACCTCCAAAGGTGCTGAAGTAGTGTGAGCAATTCAGCCAGCAGGATGTGGGGAGGTGCTGTGCTGCTGGCTTCGCCCGCTGTGCTCATTAAAGATCCTCGTGAGAGCTGGGGTATTTACTGCCCAAATTCCAGCTTGGGTAACGATGTTCTGCCTCCCTACAATTCTGTCTTAGCTAGATGCAGGGTTGGCTAGTGCTGATGGCACTGGACCACGCCAAGCAATACAGGACACTGGCAGCTGGCTACCGGCATGGCTGAGCCGAGCCCACTACTGCTGCTCCAGACAAGGAAACCTTATCGGCCGAGGGGAGGGCTCAGCCGGTGCCGCTTTCCCCATCGAGTGACACTGCAGCAGGGGGGGTGGCTGGGCTGAACAGCGGGCTGGGATGAAGGGGCTGCCAAGAGAAGACACTGCTCAGGAGTGGGTTTGGAAGGAGGGGGAGAGCAACAGGGGGACGGTGGGTTGGCCAGCAGCTTGGGGTACTTCCCATGGGGTCAGACTGGCTTGGAGGATCATCTGGGGGTATAAAGGGCTAGTCAGTGGCCCAAGCGTTAACAGCAAAGCAATGGAGAGATGAGACGAGCCCAGAGAACATCAAGCTGGTCCTTGGCCTGCCCCTGGCAGCTGTGCCCACTGGCCAGCACGGGAGGAGCTGAGCATGGGCAGCCAGGGAAATGGAGACATTGCACAAGGATGCAGCCAGCTTCTTCTCAGCAGAGCTCAGGGGCTGATGCTCCCCCTCTGGATCTCTAGACTGTGCGAAGCGGCCTCCAATCCTACTGTGTGGAACCAAACGCTGCCCTCAGCCCCCGAGACAGACAGGGCAGCTGCCTATGGGGGTCTGACCAGATCGGCTAGAGGGGACCAAAGGAGCAGGCCCCTTCCACAGCATCTCTCCGCCTGCCAGCAGAGTGCGCCCTCACTGCTCTGCGTCCTCCTCTGCCAAAGCTGCACACGTGCCAGCACATCGACATGCCCCAGAATGGCCTCGGGCACGGTGTGAGTGAGAGGAGAGCAGAGCCACTTCACTTCAGCACCCCCAGCCGCCTGGCAGGGCCTGGCCACTGGAGTGCAAGAAAAAAAACGACTTCTTGGGCAGTAAAAACAAAATAATTTGTCTGGAGCCGAGCGCCGAGGCCAGAGCAGGACAGCGAGGCATTGCCAGCACGGGTGATCGCAGCTGGAGCCCTTTTCCAACTCCGGGCAGGAGTAAACCAGACCGAGCTGCCCTCAGCTGCAGCCTTCTGCATTTCCTGGGGAAGCGCCCCAAGGCCCGCAGGGCACTGGGACCCCATTGTGCTGGGTGCGGTACAAGCATAGGAAAGACAAACGGGTACCTAGAGGGCTAACACTCGAACAGACCCGGGGGGCTGGACCAAGGGGAGGGGGCGTACATGGGGAGGAATCTGCACAGCATGTCAGAGGCAGGTTCCTTCCTGGCTACAGCCTCCTCGGAGGCAGGTTACAATAAGCCCATTTCTCCCCTGCCAGGCAGCCATCCCAGTCAGGCAGACTCCTAGCCTCCACTCCCCACGACCACCTCCTGTCTGCCTCATCCCTGCCAGGCAGCTCCCCCACCCGGCCCTGCCAGGGCATCTCTGCGCTCTCCTCCCACTGCCCCTCAGCTGGCCCTGCCAGGGCCGCCCCTCCCTTCCACACACATCCTGCATGCTCTTTGGTGAGCTCACTGAATGGTCTCCTTTGTAAGCTCCTGCTGAGCCTCACTTCTCAGCCTCCTGCACAGAATCCAAGACCCAGCCCCTCCTGTTCCCATCAACGGACCAACAGGTGTCGTCAGTGAGGGGCCCTTACCTGGATCTACCTCCAAAGCAGTTTGTGCTGGGGGGCTGGTGTCTGCTCTCTGTAGCCGGAGCCATACAGCTGGGATCCCTCCCAGGCAGCTGGGACCCTGGACAATAAACAAGCGGGAAAAGGAGAAAGGAGTGTGAGACAGGCTAGGAGACACATGGGCTGCTGGCTGCCTCCCGAAGAGGAAATCTGGAGAGAGAACAGCCCAGCACACTGGGGTGCAGGGACACCTGCCCCTCATGCTGCAAATACCCTGCAAATGCATCTGATACGGTGTATCAAGGCCCCACGATACCCCGAGGGCTGCACAGGGCCTTGCAGGGGATTTGGAAGAGTGATGGCCCAAGGGATGGGGGCTAATAGCAGCGGAGTTAGGCTACTTTCCACAGCGCCGCTCTGCCAACGCCCCTTCGCCCCAGGCCTGGCTCCCCAGCGTCAGTGCTGCCAGCCCTGGGCTCTGCGCACACAGCTCTGCCAGAGTTCCTCAGTCTTCACCTGCAGCCCCCACTTCTCCAGGCTTCTCAGAAGCGAAGCTCTCAGGCCACCCCGTACGATGGTTTTCTCTCAGGCCACCTGTATCTCGCCGTGGCTCAGAACCTGGCATACGTGGCCAGTAAATGCACCAGCCCAGGGAAAATCCTGCAGCGCAAGGAAGCCCTGCTCATGTCAGGCAGGGAGCGGGCTGAACGAGCGCAGCACGTGACAGAAAACGAGACGCCCTGATAGCAAACGCACCCACGCATTGCTGAACTCCTCACTCTGCCAGGCATCATCCCGCTCTGCTCCCTCCCACCACAGGGAGCCCTGATGGGCCAGGCTCACAGCGAACCCATCGCAGCCTCCCGAGGCCCAGGAGAGATGGGAGAGGGGATGCAGAGCCCAGGCAGCAGCAGAGGGCCCAGAAAACAGCTGCACCCTTCACTTCCCTGGGGGAGGAGGAGACCTTTTCCTGCAGATCCCACAGCTCCCCTCCCGGGCAGAAGCACTTCCACAAGCTCTTGGAATAATCCGTCAGTACAAGGGTGAGCCAAGCCTTTGGGCAGACTGCACGGCGCTCTAACAGGCTGAGCTGGGGGCCTTACCTGGGAGAGGAGGTGGCTCCTGGCTCTCAGATGTTTGTTCACAAGTCCTTACAGCTGTGATCTCAGCCCTCCCCCACCGCCCGCACTCACCACCTCATGCTCAGAGCAGCGGCCTGCACGTGGAGATGGGCGGCACTCACCCTCTGTCACGGCACTGCCATTAGGCAGGCTTCCCAGATCAACAGTCGGCCCGTCCAGGAAAATCGTCAGCTCTCCGCCTGAAACAACGCTGCCTTTGTTCTCCATCTGCAGGTTCAGGGTCAGCTGCGTGTTCTCCACTGGGGAGATGGAGGGATGGGGAGAAAGAGACAAGCCACAGTCACCACTAGCTGAAAAGTTTCACCGAATTCTAGGTTCCACACCCTGCCCCGCCATGGGGGTTTAGACTCTCTCCATATGGCAGGAGGAGGAAAAGATGAATTCCTCGGCTTCCGGCAGGGCCAGGAGCTGCCGGGACACTGGCTGGCTCTGGTCCAGTTCCCATATACACCACACCAGTGCCCCAGCAACGCTAAGCCAAGCCAGACCCTCAGCTCCCACCAAGGGCTGTCCCCAGGCCATGGGCCATGGCCTCTTCCTTCCCACACAAGAGGAGGCAGGGCCATTCCCCCTGCACTGTCCAAACCTCCCAATGATTAAGGGGCCAGAGCCAGTGCACGTCCCATTGTGAGCCGGCCACACTGTACCAACACCGGGCAGATTGGCCAGACGGGGTCCCAACGGCTTTCAATACAGAAGACAGGATCTCGGGGGTGTGGGAGATAGTGGAAGCGGAGTGCAGGGCTCCAGCTGCTAAGCTGCTTGTAATCATAATTCATTCAGACAGCAAAGGCCTGGCACCTCGGGGAAGAGAGCGGCCGAGGGTGGCTGGGAACATGGAACGATCTGACGGCTGCACACATCAAGTCACCAGGGTGCTGGAATGGCCCTCACGTGCCCGGCCAATCGCAGCTCTGGGAGCATTTGAGAGGGCCCCTCGCGGTCACTTTGGAGGAGTCCGGACGGCAGCGCCTTGGGTTGGACCCTCTCCCCACCCAAGAGACTGACAAGGCAAGTGGAGAAAGAAAATCCCCTTCCTCAACCCCAAGGACCCGCTCTGCTGAGCTCCACAGGAGCCAGGCTGCTCCCACCCTGACCACAAGCCTCTGGAGACTGCCCGGCAGGCCGGCCGGCCCCAGCGAGGGGCACACTAGAGACAGAGCACAGCACGCGGGTCCAGGGGGCTGCAGGGCCCAGTTCGGCCTCGCGTCACGCCTGCAGCTTTGCTTCCCCCCTCGTCTGACAGCCAAAGGCTCTTGGGAGGTTGACGAGGTCCCACCAGCTGCAGCAGGCACAATGTGGCCAGGCACAGAGCACGGCACCTCAGCCTCGCCCAGAGCTTAACAACCTGAAAACGCAGTTCTCCATTCTCCCCTCCCAGAGCCAGGGGACCCGGGCAGGGCAGAACAGGGGAGAGGAAGTTGATTAGCTAATTGAACGACCAGTGGAGGCACAAAGCAGGGGCTGAGAGAACAGCATGCAGCTACCAACGTTCACTGGGATCCCTTATAACTGGACTCTGCTCCATCTCACACACAGGCCTGTCAGCCAGCTGAGCCCTGCTCCTCTGGGCCCCTGGGGCAGATCCCCTCAGCCCCATCACAAGGTGGAGCCAGAGCCTTACGTTACACACGTACCAGCAAGAAGAATCCATGGTGCCCGTGAGAGTGAGGGGCTAACAGCACCAGCCAAAGCAAGGCACATGGTAGGCGGCAGCTGTGCACCCCCCCCCCCCACAGTCCCACAACCCCTGCTACAGCGGGCTAGCCGCGCCTCTGCAAAGTCTGCCAAACTATGGAGCTTCTTGATGAACTGGACCAGCCAGGACAAGACGACAGTCAATCTCCAGGTCCCTGCCACGGGGCAGGATTTTGACAGTAACAACAATGCCCAGCTACGGCCAGTGGGCTTGGAACACCCAGCTAAGACACAGGAGGCCTCAGGTATTTGGCTGCCCCAGCCCGGGACACCAGCCCAGATGCCTCCCGACTACTTTGCTCAAATAATTTTTTTATTCTACACAACTACTCATCATGACACGACTGCACCACTCCCTTGGTAGCCCGACAGCCAGTCTCCAGCTCAGGAGTGAGGCAGCTTGGCAGGGGCTAAGAGAGGCAGAAGCCTTCACAGCTGCTCCGCATGCGGCGCCTGCTGGTTCCCGGGCTTCCAGCCTGGCTCTCACCAGCAGCGCTCCCTGCCTTTGACAGCTCCTGCTGGAGTTCAGGGTGCAGAACGGTTTGCGTGCGAGCTCCGTGTTCACACGGTCAGCTTTCTGAGAGGTCCACCACATGGCCTGAATGCTGCCCGATGTCTCCATGGCTCGCCCACGAGCAGCCTCGCCTCCATCCTCCCAGCACCACTATCCTTGTCTGAGAAGCTGGAATGGAGGCAGAGGGATCACATGACTTGCCCAGGTCACACAGGTGGACCACGGCAGAGCTGAGAACTGAACCAGGTCCCTGTCTGGAGCATCTTCCCTTTCCAGCACATTCAGGCGCTGTCAATGGCTATCACGAGACCAGCAAGCCGCAGGCCATGCCCAGCTCCGGAGTTCAATTGGGAGGGGCCTGGGGCTTTTCAAACTAGCCCTGGGGCTGCTTCTTCCCCAACAGCAATGCACCTGGCAGTGGCTGCTCCGGCTAGCTGGAGCTCAGGCCAGGAGGATTTCAGCTTCCCAGAGACTAACGCTGCATTGCATGGTAGTAAAGCAAGCACAGGTGCGGTAACAGCAGCCACTCTCCATCCTGGGGAGGACATGCTCTCACCACCCAGCCACGCTCAGGTCCAGCGCCTTAGGCACCTGCTTGGTGGTGTTTTGGGGATTGTCAGTGCAGCTGTAGTGGAATTTGCAGAGGACATCAAAGCTGGGGGGCCCTCTGGAGGAGAGAGCCAGGTGGCGAGGGGAGAGCAGCGAGGGCATCGGGTGAGACTTGGTGCCACTAAGTGCCAAGCCCTGCAGCCAGGGAAAGGAAACAAGCCACTGGAAGACAGAGCAAAGCAGCAGCAGGTTTATCATCTCCCGGTGCTGCAGGCAGTGCTGCCTGTGGAGTGCATCAGGCTGTGAGCTCTGGGGAGGCGATGTCACTCACTCAGTGTCTGAACAGCGAGTGACCCCACGGTGGGCACAACAGAAAAGCTAAACAGGAATAAGACCTTCCCAGGTGACTCTTGACAGTGGACCACAGCAAGGACAGCCTGGAGCCAGCTCAGGAGATATTGGTGGGTGCTGCTGGAATTGATCTGCTCTGGCTTCACCCAGGAAAGGGGAGATGTGGGGAGTCACTGGAGGAGTTCCTCACTGGGTTGAAGCCTGAGCCAAACAACAAATGCTTCGGGGCCTCCCCTGCCAGGTGCACCAACTACCCGGCAGCCCCCTTTCCAGAGGTGCTGAGCAGTGGTAGCACCCATGGATTTCAATGGGAATTGTGAGCACTCGGCTCCCAGCTCAGTTTCACTTGTCTTGAGGCGAGGGGTCCCACTGGCAGGGGGAGGCCTGGGCTTTGCAGGGCTTTCCAAGCACATCTGTTTGCAACAGAACCAGCGTCTGACGAGGAATCACAGGCTTCTAGCTGCGTCTGACCAGATGAGGGTATTACTATCTGAGAGCTATGCAGAGAACAGGCCAGCCTGGTCTGAGACTGAGCCAGCCTCCTCTCCTGAACCACTCGGCCATGCACAATTCGGGCGCTTCTGAGGCCGAGAAGTAACAGGACCCCTGCTTACACCATGGCTATGGCATAGGCTTCCACAAACCCCATGTGCTGGAGGCAACCAGTCCTGAGATCGGCCCCATTTGCATGCAAGTCTCCTGGCCCACCTTCCTGACACAGACTTTCTGTAACTCTCAGCTCCCTGGGGACAGCGGGGGGCGACAGGCACAATGGGGCAGTAGGACGAGTAATGCTCTCTCAGATTTTGTGCACGCACCACCTCAAGTTGTTATGTAGCCCACTGGCATCCCTCAACTTGGAACAAGCCTTTCCTAACTGCTTGCTTTTAGTATGAGCAGAAAATCTTCCTGTGGGTAAAGCACAGATCTAGGCGTCACGAGCCCTGGGCTCCGTTCCTGACCCTGCTGCACACTCCCTGCATGACTCTGGGCAAGTCACTTTCTCCATCTGTACAAAGGACCCTCCCAGGGGAGACCATTTCACTAGCCTATGCAGAGTGCTTCGAGATCCTCCGATGGAAGGTACTGCAGAAAGCAGCAAACCCCTTTTCACCGGTCACTGCCTGCCATCAGAACTCTGCTTCCCTCAAGCTGTGGAGAAAGCCTGCCCCGCACGCTCCAGGCTTGCTCCTTGGTGAGCGGCTAGCAGCAAAGCGCACGCTGCGCTGCGGGCTACACAAGCCCTCATTGTGAAGGTGTCTCAGCGTACGGGGGAAGTTAGTCAAGGGGTCTCCAACTGGAGGATGTGAACATGAACCTCCCAGCCGGCCTCCTCCTCTCCCTGGCCTCCACCCCAGCCTTTTTTTTTTAAAGAAAATAAACACTAGTCGAACCTTCCATTCCCTGTCCCCGTTCGGCACACGGGACGCACAAAGGGACCTCGCTGCTGCACCAACAGAGGGTCTCCTCAAAGGGTGAGCACAAAGGCAGCCTGTGTCCCAGCAAGCAGCAGAATGTCAGAGGGGTTATTAGTATTTTGGGAGGAGGCCAGGGGTGATTAGGTCCTGAATAAGGTCTCAGTTCAGCTGCTCCCAGTGCCTTGCACACAGCATCAGCACTCCCATTTAGTGAGGGCTGGCTGGCAATTCCCTCCCAGCCCATTAAGGGGATTTACAGTTCCAAGAAGTAAGGCTGGTAGCAGCAAGTGTGATAAAGGCTCCAGCGTTGAGCCCACACCCAGAGGGAGCTCTGGTAACTGCACACATCTGACGCAGCTCATTGGCGTGAGCAGCACAAAACTTTCCACCAGGGCTGGGGCAGGATTGGCTCCTACTGGAGGCCTTTTCTCCACAGGGAAGGTGACTTAGTCCAACCCGCATGTAGACAGAGACCTTCCGACAGGAGCCTCCAATACATGGGTTTCCTGCCCATTTACTCATCTTCAGGTGTGCTTATCACATTGCCGTTGCGTGCTCAGACCTACGTCAACTAAAACAATTCCAGTGCAATCAAACCAGACCCAGCCACCTCCTCTCAGGGAAAGCCCGGCATGTGCTGAGCTTGCCAAGCACTTGAATGGAAAATGGGTCTAAATCCCTTAGACCAGCGATACTCGGACTGAGGCTCACAAACCGCAAGCGGCTCTTGAATGTGTCTCCTGCGGCTCTTCACAGCATGATATTAAAACCCTGTGATTGAATTATTAACCCGGGGTGGCCACCCTGCACCTGAGAAGAGCCAGAATTTACCTACGTACACTGCCGAGAGCCACAGTAACACGTCAGCAGCCCCCCATCAGCTCCGCCCCGCCTGCCAGCAGCCCTGCTGATCAGCGCCTCTCCCTCCTTCCCCATGCCTCCTGGGGGGAGGGGAAGGAACGAGGGCGTGGCAGGCTCAGGGAAGGGGGCAGGAAGGAGTGGGGCCCTTGGGGGAAGGGGTGAAGTAGGGGCAAGGCCTGTAGCAGAGTCAGGGGTTGAGCAGTGATCACCCCCCTCACCCCGGCACATTGGGAAGTTGGCGTCTGTAGCTCCAGCCCCGGAGTTGGTGCCTATACAAGGAGCTGCAAGTTAGTCCTGAAGAGCCGCATGTGGCTCTGGAGCCACAGGTTGGCCACCCCTGTATTAACCCATCTAAGTTATTAACCAACCAGGAGGCTTTTACTATGTTATTAACCAATTGTAGTTGGTAAAACAACAACTTTTGGTCAGTCATTTTGCTGTGAGAATAATATACATAAACTCTAAATATCTCCCCGTCCGACTGTTTAAACCTATAGTCGGACACTAAATGACACAATGAATTCACCCGACCATGGCTCTTTGGGGTAACGTCGATCGCTAATTTGGCTTCTGAACCACGGAGGTCTGAGTACCGCTGCCTTAGACCACCGAGAAGGCCTCACACATGGGCTTTACACACTGCACTCTGAGGGGCAATTAACTCAGCCTCTGTCCGGCCAAAGGGAGAGGCAAACCCCAAGGCCAAGGGCCCAGCCCTGAAAATGCCTTGGCCCCATGTGTGCAAGTGCAGGCAGCGATGGCAAGGGACAGCAGATAACGACAACGGTGTGCACTAGCCAAGTGTAAGAGACCAGGCACAGGTGGGGTAGGAGCCATGCGTAGAGGATGGCAGTCGGGGAGCAGGAATCGCGAGAGTCAGGGACAAAGTTGGGCCATGGAGACCAGGTGAGATCTGAAGTCACAACAGGCCTGAAGTCTGTGGTTGCCCAGACAGCTTCCTGGGACTAAGGGGCTGTTTAATTGACACTCTGGCTCAGGCTGCAGCTCTAGAAACCTGGCAGGGTCCTAGACCCCAGGCTCCAGCCCAAGTTCAAACGTCTACACTTCAATTAAACAGCCCCTTGCCTGGGCCGGCAACCGGGTTTTAACTGCTGCGTAGACATGGCCTGAGGCCATCATCCACGAGCCCTGCATCTTTCCTCCTAAAACACTGCAGCAAAGGGTAAAGCACCCAGCCCCTACGTCTCATCCTCAGAAGACGCAGCTGGTTACCTGCTGAACAGCCATGTGCATGACAGAGGAACGGGGGACTGAAGGGCCAAATACCAGAGTGGCGGTACTTGGCCCTCCGGCACCCCTTCACTTTGCAGCCCACAGGCAGAGAGATGGGAGCGTGGCCTTTCATGCAGGAGAGCGAATTGGGCCCTGCCCAGGGTGTGCCCCGAGGAGCAGGGTTAGCTGCATATCAGCCTAGTCCCACTGGCCATTAGCTCTGCAGCATGAGCAGAACAGGAGTGAATTTGGAAGGAAACGCAAAGCAAGCTCAGCGAAGGCCTTCGCTGGGGCATTCTGGTTTGGCACAGCAGCTTTTACAAAGTTATTGTACAGGCGCTGACAGAGCCGACTTGTTTAACATTCATTTCAGACAGGCTACAGATTTGCTTTTATGATTCTCTGCTAAAAGAGCCTTTGCTTCAGCGAGCTCCTTTGACAGCACATTCATGAGGAGGGGTCAACTGCAACTTCCCAGAGGCCTGGGGGTTTGTTGCTGGCTTCCTGAAAGAATTCCTTGAGGTTGTGGCTCCAGCGGTTCTGCCTGAGGTGCAGAACGGAAAGCAAAGAGCGCGCTTTGCAGGAGCTGTAAAACGCTGGCAGATGGTGCCACTCAAGAAACAGGAGCCTGTTGATGTAACTTGCAACCTGAGCAGCAAGCAATAAAAACAAGAGCTTTCATTTGTAGGCTGCAGCCTCACACGTTCGAGTCACTCCAGGGCCTGCCCTGCTGTCCGCAGCTCAGTGAATTGTACAATCACAAGGGCGGGGGGGCGGCATGGCCCCATATCGGCTTCCATGAAGCCTCCAAAGCAAGGCCGCCAGGGGACATTTCTCCTGCCCAGCACCAGCAGAGCACCGTCGAGTCCCCACAGCATCAGAACAAAGAGCCTCTTCTCCAGCACAGCGGCAGAGGCCTGGGGCAGGGGGCTAGGCCGCAGTAAATTAGCTGTTTTAAAGGACCCTTGGGAGCAGCTCCACAGAAGGCTGCAAGTTGTTTTCTATGACTAGGCCCTTTTTCCCCAGCGCTCTGTCCCCCCGGCTGCTGTGGCGCAGCCGTGCCGTGCCGTGCCAGAGGAGAGGCCATGCCGAGCGTTGCAGAGGAACCTGCCAAGGCAGTCGGGAGAGAAGCATGTTTGAAAAATGAGGTTTTTGGAAAAGGAACCCATTTTGGAAGCTCATTTCTCACACAGCCTGGTCTGTTAGCGCCAAATGGATTCAATTTGCCAGGCCTGAAAGCCGAGGCCTGGCGGGTTCTTTGCCAAAGACACAAGCCTGTTTCTTCCTACAGTTTCTGAAGCTCACAGCACTCATCTGGAGGGACAGAGGGAGCTTGGGCACAGTCCCAGCACGCAGGAAACCTAGACATGCTGCCAGGGCCTTTGTTGAGGGGGAATGACGCTGACATACTGCTGGAGAATACATAGCCGGGCGACCAACGTTTGTCCTTGACAGTTAATAAAAACGATGGAAACACCCAGCCAAAGACTTTAAGACACAGTTAAGGTTGTAAGTACGTATCAGTAACTTATAAAAAGCCTTGGCAAAGCTTTGCACCCACATGGTGACTATCACAGATGTCTGCCTAAGTCTGCAGACAGACGGATAGGACAGCATGGAGAGGAGTGAAGTGCCCCTAATCATCTCAGAGGTGTGTTGACTCTGAAGCCTAATAACGATCATTGAAATGGCAATAAAGTTCACTATTTCGCTGCTAACCTAGGCACATAGCGAAGGACCAGGAGGGTTGTTCTGCGAAGATCTGCACAAGTGGCAGCAAGCGGAGTGTCCTTTCAGCACCTCCACTGGGAGGAGGCTGGTTTGTGGGCTGGGCTTAGGACAGCAACCCCTGGCCCGGGCTGTGTCAGACGGCTGGGGAACGCCAGTGGGACTGACTGGGCCGGGAGCACAGGTCACCGCGTAGGGAGGCTGTGGGAGGGAAGTGTGACCAGCTCAGATCCCCACCCTCATACGCGGACGCCTGCTGGCCCTGGGCCCCACGCCACACAGCCAGAGTAACTCCACTTGGTGCAGGGCTCTCAGTGCCCAGACCCAGGGGCAGCCCCGTGGCCACTATTCCAGCTCTGCACTGGATCCGCCCTGTCCCCACCCACTCCTCACTTCCGGACCCTCTCCAAAGGCCCTGCACTCCCAGGGAACCTCAGCCCAGGGAAGCCACACTTGCAGGAGGATGGGGAAGCTGGGGGAGAGCCCCGGAGCCCTCCATTCTGGGCCAGGGTTCAGAGGAGCACCTTCCAGCTCCCAGGCAGCCCCTTGCAGACACAGCTGTGCGCTGTAGCTTTAAGACTCCTCCCCTCACAGCCCACTAGGTCGGGGGGGAACAAAATCGGACACTTTTTTCAGTATGAGCAGAAACAGCCAGTTGCCTTTTCCATTCATTTTCCACACGGCCCCCTGGGGACGCAGCCTACTGAAAGGGCTGATTGTGCCCCTGCTAAGGGGCACGCACAGGTAGGGCGGGAGCAGACAGCACCTCCAGGAGAACACGCATGGCACTTGGCTGGTTGCCGAACGGGGAAGCAGTTGGGGACCGTGGGTTGGGCCTGGCAGGCTGAGACCCAGACCAAGCCACCATCTCCAACACACGCAGCACAGCAGCACTGTCCAGCTCCATGCATGGGGGACAGGGACACGGGCATCCGGCACGTCAGAGGGTCCCCACAAAGCCCCTGGTGATTCTTCTCACCCCATCCAGAGGGCAGAGGGCACCATCCCATCCAGAGTACACGGGCCTGCTCCTGGCGACGCTGCCCAGGGAGTGTGCTGGGGACACTCACCGCTGGCAATGCCCAGGAGCGACTCAGCCTAACCCCTGGCACGAGGGAGAGTCTGGCTAAGCGCCGTCTCCCTCGGGGGAGAGAAGGCCCCTCTCGGCTCTCAATGCAAGGTTTGTCCTTCGAGAGCGGCTGAGCTTTGCTTGGAAGAGACAGAGCAAACCTTCTCCTGCCCCACGCAGCCGCTAGCACAGCCCAGGCCCTGAATGGAGGTCTTTATGCAGCCGCCACCACCATGGGCCACACTCTGGTGACCACAAATGGCAGCAAATAGCTGCGAAGTTTGTGTTTCCCTGCCGGCAGTGGCACCCTGGCCAATTAAGGTATGGCTTCCATCACACACCGGCCCCGAGCACCCGACAGGCCCGCCCAGCCTCACACAAGGACGCCTTGTTCTCTCCCGGGGCCAGGGATTCAGCTACCCCTTCTCCATGGCACACACCTACCGAGGCAGGAAATCCTGCAGGACCACACTGGAGGATCGAGGCAGAGTGAGCTCAGGAACGGCTAGAGCCGGCTGGCGAGATGGTAGCACCAAGGGGAGGAAGGTGCCGCTGCCCAATGCCAGCAGCTGAGGAGGCCCCAGCCCCCATGACAAGCCGCTCCCTGCTTTCTCCAGACAGGGAAATGAGGCTCAGGAAGAAAGCAAAGGCCAGGCCAGGCGTCAGGGCCCCAGAGTAGCTTTCACTCATACGTACTTTTCCCACCATTCTTCTTCAGGACATTACACAGGCTGATGGAAGCCGTTCCCAGCAGCTCGTTCCTCAGGGTGTGGCAGCTCCAGACCTTCAGATCCAGGTGGCTTTGAGCTGTGACGTTCCTGGAAGGCAAACCAAGAGGAGGGCTGTCAGCTCCCCACCTGCTTCTCTGATGCCAAGCTAGCAGAGCAGGACCAGGCATGCCAGGCACAGAGGGCAGAGAAGAGGCCAGGGCAAGGCCCTAGGAACACCCAGGCCCCCACTAGCTTCTCCATCCAGCACAGCACATGCACACCTGAGTGTGCACCCTAAGCCCCTTCCAGCCAGTGGCAAACGTTCCAGGCTTCCTTACGCAGCACGACCCAGTGCAGAAGTAGGGAGCTCAGTGCCAGCTCTGGGGTGCCTGCATTAGCCCCAACCCCCTGGAGTCCCCAGGGGTTCTTACATGATAAGGATCTCGTTCCAGAGCAGCTCAGAGCTCCCAATCCGCTTCCCTGTCTTCTTGGTCTCACTGGGAAGTCCATCCACCGTCACCTCCACGTAGGAGTTGATCCGAGACTGGCGGCTGTGCACCTTGGGTTTCACTGACACAACTAGGCAGAGGGGGAAGAGGCAGAGAGTCACGCAGCTGCAGGCAATATGCAAGTTGTCCCCACCCAGAGAGGCCCAGATGCCACACAGCAGCCGCCAGCCCAAGAAACCAGGGCCCAAGGTTTACTACTGGCAGCCGGGTCTCATGGGCCAGACAGGGAGACATGTCCTGGAGACCCGGGAAAGGCAAGGCCCCCCAACCTGGGACCCAGAAATCCCCCCACCCTGAAGGGCACCCTAAAAAGGGAATAAAAAACAGGAGCCGTGTGAAAAGAAGTGCCGACAGAAGTCAGGGAAGCCGTTCCAGGTATCTGGAGCCCTCTGGTGGCCTTAACAGAGTTCTGCACACACTCCACCTCCCCTAAAGCCAAGGAGACCAAGGCATCCACTGGTGACGGCCCCGGGACAGAGGGCGAAGGGGAGAGCCGAGCAGGCAGCCAGCCAGCTCCCAAGGCTCACATTGTCTGGACATGCAGGGAGACCTTCCAGCCTGGCCCCATTCACCAGCACCAGTTTCAGAGGAAGCCCCAAGAGGCTGAAGGTTTGACGATAGGGAATGCATCCTCCAGGAGATAGCCTCCCTGGCTCTGCCTCTGCCCGCAGAACCAGCTCAGGGACTGGGATTAGAAGGCTGGTTACCAGCTTTCCTCTGGATGAGCCCTTCACAGCAGGGGATGCTATGGAAAGACCCCATCCTTCCTCCCCCAACTCCCCACATGTCTGGGGCTACGAGGCTGCCAATTCCCTGACCCAGGGGGAAGCACCAGGAAGAACACATCTTTTAATCTGCACTCTGCTGCACTGGCCCATTGGGGTGAAGTCCAGGTGTGATGCTGACGGGCCAGATGCCAGCTCCTGTCTCTCCATGGTAAGACTTATAATGATTCAGAAGTTCACATTTGTTACTGGCTTGGTGAAATCTAGTTACAGAACACACCACCCCACACTAGCCCGGCAACAGCTGAGTGGGCCAGGTGGGCCCAGTCAGCTAATTAGGCTGCAAACAGGGGAGCTTTAGGCTGGAGGCAGCTAATTAGAGAGGCTCACAGGTGCAGGAACACGCAGGGCCTGTAAAGCCAGGTAGTGGGCTACAGACTGGGCTGCTGAGAAAGGGCAGTCACTCCCTGGGAAGAGGGAGGAGTGTTTGGGGACAGTTGGGAAGGCTGCAGGAAGGCAGACAGCAGCCACTCCTGGGAAGAGGGTTCTGGGAGCTGCCACACCCAGAGAGAGAAGGGGAACCGGAGAGGTAGGAAACAGTCCAGGGAAGGCAGAGAGATGAGCCCAGAACTGCTGACAGGAGGAACTAGAACCCAGAGATGAGGGCAGGTCCGGGTTCCTCTGTCAGCTGCTGCGAAAGTGGCACCGGGGCAGTGACGGGGCAGACTGCCTAGCAGTGCTGATGGACTGAACCCCAGAAGGGGGAACACAGTCACCTAGCCAGAGGGCTAAGTCACAAAGACAACACTGAGGGTCCTGGAGCCGGAGGAGCTGCGGACCGCAGTTGGAGTGACGGCATGCAAACCGCAGACTGGGGTGTTGACCTCAAGAGCTAACCCAGAGTGGCCAGGAGGAGGCACCAGCCCAGCAGTGAGTGGAGCACCCTGAGACAGGGTGTCTGTCCTGTTTTTGACAGTCTCCCCAGAGGTAGGCGCTCACAGTCATGGGCTGCTCCAGACGGCATGACACCCTGCATTCTCCTGGGCACACCCAGTCTCTGGCTGGACTGGTGCAATAGCAGCCTTCACTCGACAATTACTCCCCCCAGCCACAGGCTCAGGAGTCCAGGACTAGGGCAATCTCCCTCCCCCGGGGAGCAGGTGGTCACTGACAAGCATGGCTTGTCTGAAGCTGACAGGCTGCCTGGGCTGCTGGAGAAGGAAGTTAGGACAAGACAAGCCACACTTGAAAATCCACATTCCCCAGCAGGACCAGAAGCTTCTGGCCTAGACAGAGTGCCTGCTTCCCCACCTCACAACCCCCGGGCGCCCACTGCAGCTCTACTCACCTTTCACAGTGAGCTGGGACTTCTCACAGGCCAGCCCTGCCGTGGCCCTGCTGGAGCTAGCAGATGCCATGTCATCACCATGGGACTGGAAAACAGACACACAACACCTTAGTACAGCTCCATGCTACAGCCAGGCTACCTCGGGGCTGGGATCTCCAGGGATCCTGTCACTACCAGGACGGGAGACCCCGGTGGGTCGGGGATTCAACAATGGACCAGCAGTGAACCACCCCCTTCATGTGGTATTGGGGGAGCAACATTGCTGCATGGGTACGGCCATCTTCTACAGCTGTTGTGAGAATTGGTCTCTAACTTCTGCCTGTTCAGGAATTGACCATGCAAAGTAGGTCAACTTATTTTCCATAAAGAACGTTATAAAGAAGTGGAAGAGAGCCAAAGAGACAGAGAGTGTAAATAAGTCCCCACAAAGAGCCACATAGTTCAAGCACTAGGCTGAAAACATGGTTGGTAAAAACAGAAGATATGGACCGAGAAATTTATGAATGAACATTGGGGTGTCAGATATCAGGATTAACTGCTGGACACATAATAAGGGGATGGGCTATTCCACACCCCACTCCTTTTCTGAGTCCTCGATAGCACAGAGAGAACCACAGACAGAGGCTACTGAAGTGAGCTTCACCATCATGGCTTCCACTCCCACCATCTCCTGGGATCCCGGGCATTCGTCATCCTAATCCTGAGACATGTCCTGACCAGCCCGGACCAGAGAGGGGGACCCAGAGAACATGGCCACCCAGACCAGCTGCAGCTAAATCCCAACCACCGCCTGGGAGGAAACGGGATTGGACTATAGCAGCAGCTCCAGCCCAGCTAGCGTCTCTTTTCCCCACAAGGGCAGTCCTGATGTCTTTGATGCCATCTCAAACAGGAAGGGGGTTTTCTCTCCAGCGTACAGGAACAAGGGACATTGTTCAGATGGAAGCCTTAGTTCATACTTGACATTTCCAGGGCCTTAACTGGTTTTCCTTCTTTTCTTTCTTTAATAAAAGGTTAAAACCTGTTGGCCAGGCACGAGATTTCTATATACCTTGTGTAGCACTGTTTTTTGTTGGACAATGACAGGGTTATGTTAACACCTTTGGCCCATTTACTCCGTCTAAATTAATACAACAGGGATCATTAAAGAGCCCCTGGCACCTTTGTTTCGGTCTGGGCAGGAGTTTGGAGCTGGGATAGCAGGAGGTCAGGCCAGTCTGAACTGAGATGCTGACTTAATAGAAATGTGTCTTCTCATCTACCCTCTGCCCTGCACAACCACTCAAGGTCCACGTTCTACTGCCATAAGCACCCTCGGGGTTAGTCGACTGGTCGTTTTTCATTCCGGTCTCATACATACTGCACAGGGCTCCTGTCGAAAGCTCTGCATGCCCTTGACTTTTAAACACGGAACAAATGCAGATCCAGCCAAAGCAGCAGCTCTTCCCCTTCCTCAGACTTCACCAATCACCAGTCAAGTGACATAGGCTGCTTACCCCCAACCTCCACTCCCCTCAGCCCGTGGCCAATGCCCACAGCAGCTGGGGTTTGCAAAGTGCCTGGCACGGGAAGGGCAATAAACTCAGGCTAGTTCAGACCTTTCAGGAAGAGCGTTCCAAAGTACAGAGCTTGCTCAGCCGGCAGGCCCCTCCTTTGATGACGGGTGATCAAACTCAAAGGCATCTGCTGATCACAACTCTGACAGCATGGCACAGGGAGAGAGGTGTCCCCCGGGGCTAAGAGGATACAGTTGCCTTCCCTTTCTGCCCCACACCACTGAACAGGGATGCTGGCTGCATTTGGCTGGTTCGTGACTAGTGTATGTGACTAAACAGCATGAGGATCCTTTAGGAAAGCCCCTACGGAAACAAGATTAACACGACAAACACTTGTCAGGAATGGTCTAGTTCAGTGGTTCTCAAACTTTTTTTCGCGGACCACTTGAAAATTGCTGAGGGTCTCGGCAGACCACTTAATGATCTTTCCAAATGTTGTTTGTACTGTTAGCTAACTACTGTAAAGTGCTTTGGATAAAAGCGCTATATTAAAAAAAACTCAATAATAATTAACTTTTTTTGTTCTACAAACAAAAGCACACAACTCATATTTTAATATCAGTAGTTTTACTTTTCTAATGTGATGGATGTGCCCTCTCTCCCCCACCGCAGCAGCCCTCGAGCTGGGGCTGGGAAGGAGCGGGGGGGGGGGGCCCCCCCCCCCCCCCCCCCCCCCCCCGCCCCCGCGCTGGGGCTGGGAAGGAGGGGGGGTCTCTCCCTCTCTCCCCCGCCGCAGCAGCCCCCGGGCTGGGGCTGGGAAGAAGGGCCATCTTTCCACGGCAGCCGCAGGCCTGGAGCTGGGGAAAGTCACCTCTTTCTCTGGCTGCCGCAGCCCTGCACATCCCAAATTCCCCCCACTCCCTTCTTCTCACCCCACTGCCCCCTCCCACATACCCCTTATTCCCCCCAAGGCCACCACCTCACCTTACAAGTGCATCTTCTCCAGGGTCCAGGCACCTAATTAGTGGAGCCACGCCTGCTCGGCTCCACTAGTTAGGTGGGTGGCCCTTCATTCTCTCGCGTGCAGCCGCCCTGGCACTCCTTAGAGGGAACTATCCGCAGACCAGTTTGAGAACCTCTGGTCTAGTTATTACATAGTCCTGCCTTGAGTGCAGGGGACTGGACTAGATGACCTCTCAAGCTCCCTTCCGGTCCTACGCATGCATCTATGATTCTAGGTTACTACAGAGGAAATGAGGGGCCAGGCATCACATGGGAGAGTGTCGGGAGCCCTCAAGGGCAGCCCAGGCCTTTCTCATTAGGGTTTAGTTCCAGAAGGTGGCCTCCACGTAGGTCCAGGCTCACTGTTAAGATCTCGACTGGCTGGATCCCAAGCTCCGCCAGATGAGATTCCCACTGGATGGCCCCTCCCTAATGAGTCCTGAAGGCTGGGATTCAGAGCAGGCTCTTTCTGTGGGCCATGGGTCTCCTGTCCTCATTGTCAGTTCTGCAGCATGGCTCAGGCAAGTGGAAACTACCCTGGGTTATCCAGAAGTCTTTATAAATAGTCCCATATGACCAACACAAGCAGCAGCACTTGCACAGTTAGGAAACAGACGGATAACACGACGACAGCATTTTATGTCTGTAGCTCACCCTGACAGATCCCAATGCACTTCACAAGCTACATTCACAGAGCACCACCGAAATACAGCCACCTCTGGGGTGGAAGCAGCATCCAGGCGGCACACCACAACAGAACCGAGGGGTCATTTTGGCCAAGGACAAACATCCATTCCCCCGAGATCAACACGGGATATTTAGTGGTTGTGCAGAGCAGAGGGTTAGAGAATAGAAATACGTCTCCTTAAGTCAGCATCTCATCCCAGGTCCAAACCCTCTGCAGACCCCTAATGCCACCAAGTTATGAGCTGGTTGGGATGTACAAGACTGGGAACCAACTGGCCCTCACTTGTGACCTAGGCTTTGGCCCCTCTACCCCATTCAAGCTACTCTGCATAAAGCGCATGCGTAACTAATGCCTGCTCACAGGCCACTGCATTTGGCATTGAATTCCTAGCTTCAGTTTAGCAAGAAGGCTGCACGCAGCAACACTGCCTGCTCTCAGCAGCGCACTGCCGCAGTAGGTGGACTTTCTGCAGCAGCTCCCAGCACATTCAGAATGAGGACTTGCATGGAATTACACAGGAGGTGAAGAAGCCAATCCACACGGTATCCTTCTATCCTAGACACTTCCAGGCCCGGCCCCCCCTTACTGCAGCATCTAAGCACAGAATAGCTCTGCGGCTATAAAGCACCTTTATACAGATCTACGTGCATGCACATTCCGAGGGGATGTACTGCTTTGACAATAGCAGTACAGTTAAAGTGTTACACAACTCACCTGTGGACAAGGCCGAAGTGACTAAGAAGGTCACACAGGAAGACTGCAGCAGAGAGGACAATGGAACCCAGGTCTTCTAGCCCTGAAGGCGCGTTGGAAGTAGGGTCGCCAACTTTCTAGTTGCACAAAACTGAACACCCTAGCCCCGCCCCTTCCCCAGGGCCCCACCCCCTGTTCGCTACATTCCCCCTCCCTCGGTGGCTCGCTCTCCCCCACCCTCACTCACTTTCACCGGGCTGGGGTAGACGTGTGGGAGGGGGTGAGAGCTCTGGCTGGGGTGGGGCTGGATATGAGGGGCTTGGGGTACAGGAGGGGGCTCCTGGCTGGGGCCGAGGGATTCAGAATGTGGGAGGGGGCTGAAGATTTAGGCAGGGGATTGGGATGCAGGAGGGGGTGCTGGCTCTGGCGTGGGGCTGGGGATGAGGGGTTCAGGGTGTGGGAGGGGGCTCTGGGCTGGGGATGCGGGCTCTGGGATGGGGCCAGGGATGAGGGGTTTGGGGTGCAGGAGGGTGCTCTGGGTTTCAGGGGGCTCAGGGCTGGGGCACAGGCTTACCTCGGTCAGCAGCAGGGCTAAGGCAGGCTCCCTGCCTGTCCTGGCACTGCATGTGCCCCGAAAGCAGCCAGCAGGTCTGGGTCCTAGCCAGGAGGGCCAGGAGGCTCCACGCGCCACTCTCGCACACAGGCACCACCCCCAGAGCCCCATGCCCCTCCCCCCCACCTAGGAGCCAGACCTGCTAGCCGCTTCTGGGGCACAGCACGGTGCCCCAGGACAGGTAGGGACTAGCCGGCCTTAGCACCACCGACCGGATTTTTAATGGCCCGGTGTGCAGTGGTAACGGAGCCACCAGGGTCCCTTTTTGACCGGACACCTGGTCACGTTAGTCGTAAGCACTGCCTGACCCTCTCTCTTCCATTGCATTACCTGGATTAATGCAGCTAGTGAGGTAACCAAGTTCAATAGTTTTTATGCCACCGCTACATTTTCAGCATGCACCAAAGCTTTCTACTGAGAACACGTAAGTGCCCAGAGATGTCAGAGCAAAGCTGAGGGCTTTTGGCACCTGAGATAGTGAGCGACATTGGAATGAGCACGTTTCTGCTGCAGTGATTAACAGTGAAACAGCCAAACATTACCGTGCCATTGGTAGATTTAAAAGCTAATGAACTGTTGATATGAATGGGACAGTTCACAACTCTCAAGGCTACTGATGCAAGCTGACTTGCCAAGCCTGCAGACAACAAGCATTGCTTTTCACAGCCAGAGGGGCTAAAGAGGTTTGCAAATTGAAGTCAGACTCTGGAGCACATGCTGGGGTGGGGTGTGGTGCCTGCAACAAATTCCATGGCCACAGAATACACAGGCCCTGCCCAGGGCACATGTACAACATACTGCAGGGCTGGAATCGGATCAGCTTCTGGCTTCGAAGTAAATGAGGTGTCACACACCTGAAACCTTGACCTGCTTCCAGGAGGGATGGCCTCACTCCCTTTCTTCCCTCTCCCCACCACAACTCAAAAGCTGCCTGGCTACTGCAATGGGGTAGGGGCAAAGAATATCTGCTGCACCACCTCTCCCCTCCACCCCCAGAAGACAGCTCCAATGCCTGCCTTTGCTGCTTAGCACTTTCCCCAAGGAACAGTAGAATTAAATTGACCCCCTTGTGTCAATTTCATTGATGTCCCCAGGGTTTTGGAACAGCAACACTGCAAACAGAGAAGATGAATCAGGACTCATTCCACTCCTGTGGAAGCTCTGAGAAGCAGCCATGGAACTATCTGTAGATTCAGAATACTTAAATACTCTGCCCAGTTCTGGTCACCCCAGCCCAAAAAGGATATAGTGGAACTGGACAAGGTTCAGAGAAGGGCAATAAAGAAGTTCAAGGCTATGGAATGGTTTCCATACAAGGAAAGATTAGAGCAGGGGTTGGCAACCTTTCAGAAGTGGTGTGCTGAGTCTTCATTTATTCACTCTGATTTAAGGTTTTGCGTGCCAGTAATACATGTTAACATTTTTAGAAGGTCTCTTTCTATAAGTCTATAATATGTAACTAAACTATTGTTGTATGTAAAGTAAATAAGATTTTTAAAATGTTTAAGAAGCTTCACTTAAAATTAAATTAAAATGCAGAGTCCCCTGGACCGGTGGCCAGGACCCAGGCAGTGAGAGTCCCACTGAAAATCAGCTTGTGTGCTGCCTTCGGCACGCATGCCATAGGTTGCCTACCCCTGGATTAGAGAGATGAGTGCTGTTCAGCTTAGAAATGAGATGGCTAGGGGGGATAGGATACAGACCTATCAAATCATAAATGGTGGTGGGGGGGGGAGAGAAATGTTATTTACCCTCTCCCACAATAGAAAAACCAGAGGTCACCCAATGAAAATAATAGGCAGCAGGTTTAATATAAACCAGAGAACGTATTTTTCCACACAACACACAATTAACCTGTGGAACTTGGCCATCACAACATCCTCTGGCAATGAAAGTATAACAGGGTTCAAAAAAGAACTAGATAAGTTCAGGGACGAAAGGTCCATCAATGGCTATTTCCCAAGAGAGTGAGGAATGCAACCCCATGCTTAAGGCAAGCCTAAAGCCCTGACTGCCAGAAGCTAGGAGGGGAATACGGGGTGGATCCAACTGCCCTATAATGTACATGACCTGAAACACTGATACTGTCAGAGACAGGATACTGGGCTAGACTGAGCATTGGTCTGACCCAGTGAGGCTATTAGTATATTCTTAAATTGTGCCCATAAGCGAGAAAGACATTAACAAGTTATTTTTCTGCTGCCTCCCCCCAGTCTGCTGCCATGTGAGTGCTGAAAAGAGGAGCCCACTGGCTCTTAGGCCTGGTCTACACTACAACTTTAATTCGGATTTAGCTGCGTTAATCCGAATTAACCCTTCACCCGTCCACACTACAGAGCCAGTTAATTCGAATTAAAGGGCACTTAAAATTGATTTCTGTACTCCACCTCGACGAGCGGAGTAGCGCCTAAATCGATTTTGTTAATTCGAATTAGGGTTAGTGTGGCCGCACACCACCGAATTACTGTGGTTAAAGTAATGGGGTAGTGTGGCCGCACACCACCGAATTAATGTGGTTAAAAACCGAATTAATGTGCTTAGTGTGGCCACGCACAATCGAATTTATACAACCTGTTTCCCAAATTCGAATTATCTAAATTCGGATTAATCCTGTAGTGTAGACATACCCTTAGCCTCAAAGAAGGACGGAAGTTGGCAGGCAGCCAGCTCAGCTCCCATCTCGGTACAGAGGAACTGCAAAGCTGCCAGTTACCAGCCACTCGTGCACATGTTGAACCAGCACCACCTATTGTTTAGGACTGTAGCTCTCTCAAGGAGGAACAGAGGTCAGAGTAACAGGAGACTCCTTCCCAACTAATGCTACCCTGGCCAAAGACAGATAGAATGTGAGCCAGGAATGAAGCTCAACAACAGATCAAGCATAATATTTGCGAAAAGGGGGCTAACCAGCGTGGCAGAGCCTAATTTGGCAAAAGACCCACCTATGCATACTAATTAGGAAGGTGAGGTGACAGATGAGTGAGTTGCTTTTGGGGTGGGACAGAGAGCTCGCCTACCACAGAGAAATAGAGGGAAAGCCAGCAAGGGGAAAGGGAAAGGAGCACCCAGCTGAGATTCAAGGAGCTGGAAAGGCCATGAGGCTGAGACATCAATACAACATGCTGATGCCAAGTGGCCTATTTGTGCCCTAGTCAGACTAAAAAAAAATAGAAATAGAAATTAATGGAGATATCCCATCTCCTAGAACTGGAAGGGACCTTGAAAGGTCATCAAGTCCAGCCCCCTGCCTTCACTAGCAGGACCAAGTACTGATTTTGCCCCAGATCCCCAAGTGGCCCCCTCAAGGATTGAACTCACAATCCTGGGTTTAGCAGGCCAGTGCTCAAACCACTGAGCTATCCCTCCCCCCCGAAGCTTTCGAATGGGACCCGCCTCACTCAGGTGGTGTCAGGTGTAAAATGCTACTTTATCCCCGTGGAGCTCAGACACCAGGATGCCCCTTTTCACTTCCTATCTGAGAGCGGGTCACGGCCTCTCTAGAAGCCCATCCATTCCTTCAGCAAAGGGCTGGGACCCAGGCTGCCTAGCAAGGCACAGACGCCCAGACTCGCGGAGACTCTCCAGCAGGGCGGGCGGGAGGGGGCACCCCACAAACCCCAACAGGGAGACCCCCGGCTCAGCAGCCCCGAGGAGCCACAGGCTGCAGGGGGAGGACAAGGGACGAGGCCTCCCCCCCGCCCCAACGCCGTGGCCATTGGGAGTAGCAGCGCCGCCCCCGTCGCACCGGAGGGAGCGGAAGTCGCTCTGCCCCCGCTGGGGCGCCCGGGATTCGGCCTTGGCCGCCGAGCCCTAGCCGGGGCGGCTCTGGCCCGGGGCCCAGGACAGCCGGGTTAGCAGCCCCTGGCTCGGCCCTACGGCGGGCTGGGCTGGGCACTCCGCCCGGCTCCCAGGCCGGGGGCTCCCTCCGTCCCCAGCGGGGCGCCTCGGCCGGCCCGGGCCCCACACTCCCGGAGCAGGAGGCCCGTGGCCGGGGAGTCGGGCTGCCCCCTCCCGTGTGCCCGGCCGGCCGGAGCGAGCCCCCGGGCCCGCCTCCCGCCCGCCAAGCCCGCGCCGCTGCCCGCTCCGTATTTACCGGCGACGGCTTCGCCTCCACTTCCGGCTCCTGCGATCGCGATCATGTGACACCGGCTCCCCACCTGACTCGGAGCCCGGAAATGTGTCACGGGGCAGCTGCGTGCGGGGCCAGCGAGAACCATCGCTTCCGGCGTGCACCACGGCAACGAAACAGCGCCCGTCCCAGCATGCACCGCGGCCCCGCAAAAACTACCGCTCCCGGCATGCCGTGGGGCAGGGCCGCGCACTCCGCGAGGGCCAAGATGGCGGCGGTGGAGCACGTCGTGGCGGACGCCGGGGCCTTTCTGCGCGGGGCGCCGCTCCAGGTACCAGCGGCGGGGCGGGGCCTGGGGACGCTCGCCCCGAGCCGGGCCTTATTGGAGGCGGGAACGGCCGGGCCGGGCCAGACCCACGCCCCCGTGGCCGGGCGGAGCCTGAGGGCACCAGCGCCGGGGCGGGCCCAGGCTCGGGAACTTACCGAGCTCCTTTCCCGCCCCCAGGCTCGGGAGCCGGGTCAGTCAGTGCCCGCAGCACAGCCGGGAGCCCCGTGGCCCCTCCCTGAAGCCGCCTCGTTCTTCCGAACCCGCCTTCGCCGCACCCCGGCGAGGGGCTCCCCGGGCCGGCCGCGCCTTGGGGGAAGGGGTCCAGAGCCCTCCCCGGGCCCGGCCTTACCGCGCTCGGTCACATCCCCCGGAGTTGTCTCCTTTCCCGCCTGCCCAGGCCAGGCCCGGTCCTCTTAATCGCGCCTCAGACGGAACCGGTTCCCAGCCGTCATCCGCTTTTGTTGCCCTTTTCTGAACCTTTTCCAATTCCAGTATAGCTGAGATGGGGCGACCACATCTGCCCGCAGTAGTCAAGGTGTGGACGTACCACGGATTTATAGAGCAACAATATGATCTTTTCTCTCTTATTATCTATCCCTTTTTCTTAACGATTCCCAACATTCTGTTCCCTTTTCGACTGCTGCAGCACATTGAGTGGATTTTTTTAGAGAACCACCCTCAACGACTCCAAGATCTCTTTCTTGAGTGGTAACAGCTAATTTGGACCCCATTTTTTGTATGTGTAGCTGGGATTATGTTTTCCAATGTGCATTACTTTGCATTTATCGACACTGAATTTCATCTGCCATTTTGTTGCCAGTTTAGTCAGATCCCTTTGTAACTCTTTGCAGTCTGCTGTGGACTTAACTATCTTGAGTATTTTTATGTCATCTGCAAACTTTGCAAACTCACTGTTTATCCCTTTTTACAGACCCCTGGGGCACTCCACTATTTACTTCTCTCTGTTCTGAAAACCAACCATTTATTCCTACCCTTTGTTTCCTGTTTTTTAACCAGTTACTGATCCATGAGAGGACCTTCCCTCTTTTCCCATGACTGCTTATTTTATTAAGAGCCTTTGGTGAGAAACCTTGTCAAAGGCTTTCTGAAAGTACACTATATTCGCTATTCACCCTTGTCCCCACGTTTGTTGACCCTCAAAGAATTCTGAGGCCTGGTCTACACTGGGGGGAGGGGGCGAATCGATCTAAGTTACACAACTTCAGCTACGTGAATAACGTAGCTGAAGTTGACGTATTTAGACCTACTCACTGCTGTGTCTTCACTGCGGTTAGTCGACTGCTGCCGCTCCCCCGTCGACTCTGCCTGTGCCTCTCGCGGTGGTGGAGTACAGGAGTCAGCAGGAGAGAGCTCGAGGGTCGATTTATCGCATCTAGACTAGATGCAATAAATCGACCCCTGCAGGATCAAGCGCTGCCCGCCGATCCGGCGGTAGTATAGACATACCCTAAGAGATTGATGAGGCATGACTTCTCTTTACAGAAGGCATGTTGACTCTTCCCCAACAAATCATGCTCATATGTTTCTGACAATTGTGTTCTTCATTATAGCTTCAATCAAGTTGCCTGGTACTGAAGTTAGGCTTACTGGCCTGTAATTGCCAGGATCGCCTCTGGAGCCTTTTTTAAAAATTGGTATCCCATTGCCTATTCTCCAGTCATCTTGTACAGATGTTGCTTTAAGTGATAGGTTATATACCACAGTTAATAGTTCTGTGATTTCATATTTTAGTTTCTTCAGAACTCTTGGGTGAATATCATCTGGTTCTGGTAACTTATTACTGTTTAATTTATGAATTTGTTCCAAAACTTCCTCTAATGACATTTCAGTCTGGGATAGTTCTTCAGAATTGCCACCTAAAAAAATGGCTCAGGTGTGGGAAGCTCCCTCATCCTCTGCAGTGAAGGCTGATGCAAATAATTCATTTAGGTCTCACCATTCATGCTGTTAATGTACTCCCCACCCCACTAAGGACAGCAGAATAGTCAGTTTTTACTTTCCTTTCTAATCACTTCAGAAAGGCCTGTTCCTTTAGTACCTTGATCATCCAGTGGCCCCACCAAGACAGTGTCTTTCTGTCTCAGGCAGTGGCTACAGAGCAGGGGAGCCAGGCCTTCCCCTAGTCTGGCAGCCCCTCTCCCATCTGTGGGGCAGGGGGAGGTTGGGGTGTTTCACCACCTGGCTCCATGGTGATGGGCACTGTGTATGGGGCTGCTTTGGAACCACACCGTGCTGTCTGTGGGGATGGGCATCCCCATGTGCCTTCTGGCCTTGGAATCAGAGTCATTTGTCTGTTTGTTCCTAATATCAGGAATTCTTGTGTGTCTCCTACAACAGGACTTCGGTAGAAACATTTACACTATTAAGGAGGTGGTCAGTGAAATCCGGGACAAGGAAACCAGGAGGCGACTGGCCGTGCTGCCCTACCAGCTTCACTTCAAACAGCCCTTCCCTGAGTACGTTAAACTAGGTAGGTGAGCTGGCCTTGGGGACAACTAGCAGAGCGTTAGCTTAGTTGCCTGCTCCTAACTCAGTGTCCTTCCTGCCTGTCCTGGCACTTGTACAGCTTTTCTCTGAATAGGTATTTTTTTGTCATAGGAAGTGTGCCTGGATTCCGTTAACCGTAGCCTTAGAGCCACTGTCAGGAGGAAAGCCCCATTTCTTTATTAACTCCTGCTCCTGTGATTGAAACTAACAATTTTAAGAGTCCCAACATACTCTCACCATTCATGCTGTTAATCTACTCCCCACCCCACCCAGGACAGCAGAATAGTCAGTTTTTACTTTTGTTTCTAATTACTTTTGCTTCCTAGTTCTCATGCAGTAGCACAAGGCTGTGGTGTTTGGGTTGAAATCCCTCTGGGAGAAAGTTAGCATTCAAATAAAACTACTCTCATGGAATTTATTTCAAACATTCCACAGAGGAGATCATTGTCACATCTAAATGAGTGTAGTGGCAGTAATGGATGAGGAGAGGCATGACCGATTGTAGGAGTCTTTGATCTGCTTAGCCCATTACTACTAAAACCCACATCTTGAACCTAAAACAACCTTACTGTCACTTTTCAAGAGAAAAGTGATGCTTCGTCTGGATTCTTTCCAAATATTCTTGAGCTCAGCAGATAAATGCTCTTTGATAGAGTGGCACAGACCCTTTTACGCAGAGCTACTTGTAGGCCTGCGAGAAAAGCTTTTAGGGTGAGATTTAAAGAGAAAATGCCCTTAAGAGGATGGGGGCTATGGGAAGAATTCTCAATAGATGGGAATGGTTCAAGTGAAAAAGCAGCCTATACAGATACCAACCCAACCTCTGTATTTTGTATTTTTCTGAAAGTTCTAATTTCGTTAGTATCCATGTATCTGCTAACCGTTGGACTCACCCAATGACGGCACTCTCCCTTTGTTATAGTGACAGAATTTTCAAAGAAGACGGGTGACTACCCCAGTCTGTCAGCCACAGATCTTCAGGTGCTAGCCCTGACCTACCAGTTGGAGGCAGAGACTGTTGGGGTGGCTCATCTGAAGACCGAGCCAGAAAAAAAGGTAAACTCCCCTGGAGTGACAGACCCAATCCATTACTCTAGTGCTGGGTAGGTCCTTCAGGATTACTGCCTTCATGCGTGAATAGGCTTTTCAAAGGTGTCTGGTGAGGGTGTATAGTCGTGAGAAAAGTGAGGGGGATGTTTAATCCCAATTCTTGATGTAAAATTCAGTCTGCATCTACTGTCATGGCCTGGTGCCATGTCACCTTTTTGTCTGGTCTCCAAAAAGCTCTTCTGTTTTTAAGAAATATCTGGCTGCATTAGAGAACTTGTGTAATCAGATGTAATATTTTACCTAATATAATCACACCAGTTTCAATTCATGGAGGATCGGTCCATCAGTGGCTGTTAGCCAGGATGGAGTCCCTTGCCTCTGTTTGCCAGAAGCTGGGAATGGATCACTTGATCATTACCTGTTCATTCCCTCTGGGGCACCTGGCATCGGCCACTGTCGGAAGACAGCATACTGGACTAGATGGACCTTTGTTCTGACCCAGTCTGGCTGTTCTTATGTTAATTATTTTTGGTCATTTATTTCAAAATGTGTCAGCAAGTATGTCTAACAATACAGACAAAAAATTTCAGAAAATGTTTGACAAATAGATTCCTTATTAGGCGTATTCATACAGAACTTTGGGTAATAATTCATTTAAACTACAATGCAGAAACTTATTTCCCACACCCCCCAGAAGCAGTGCAAGGCTGAGGGGAGTCAGGGTAACGGAGGAGCTGAGAGAGAGGGAAATAAATTGCTGGGAAGGAGCCTGGGTGTGAACTTGGAGGGTTTTTGGGTATGGGTGGGAAATGTATGGAACAGGTTTTTTGGGGGGTAGGGAGGGACTGTTAGGGAGCTTCCCCCATGCAGACCCTGGCTGACCCCTAGTCTCTCAGATTCAGTCAGGCACATGTGTCCCTCCACCCCTACTCAGACACCCACTCCCCCCATCCCTATCTGTCTGTACCCCGACCCAGCCACCCTCTGTGCCTATGTAGCTCTGCACCCCCTCCCCCATCACCATGTGGCCCTGCACCTCCCCTCCCACCATGGCCCTATGCCTCCACTCCCATTCAGTCTCTGCCCCAGTCTGTCCTCCCCCACTACCCCTTATGAGCCCCAGTCTGACCTTCCCCCCTCCTCGTCCACAGCACTCCACAGCCCCTGTCTTCTGACCTGGCCCGCTGC